TATATATTTAAGTACTACAGAACACAATCGGCTAAGCACGAATCAAAATAATTATATAGTAGTTTACGGATTGCCACAGAAGACAGAGGCTAGAAGTTATTCGCATAAAGCTCCGGAAATGAGTGCCAATTTTGTATAGGTAAATTTAGGAAATTCAATATAGAATAACTGAACTATTCGAAAAATTAAACACAAAGCTGCACGAGGGAAAGGCAAATGTGGAATGTAGAAATTTTACAAATAAAAGTCCCAACGTGATCCGTCGGAAGATGTAGTAATAATGGCTAGTAAACCCACATGAATTTAAAACGCCAAAATTTAATTTAATTTTTTAAACCGGGGGCAACCCTATTCAAAAACTTAAATATATATTTATTCCAAATGTTTCATCTAAATCTTTCCGCCCATTGCTGAATGAGGAAAGGTCTCGCGTGGTGACGGTTTTTCACTGCATCAAATTTCAAACCGTTCTATACCGCTAAGAAAAAAGTCCTAACTTCAAAAAGTAAAAACGTATTGCACAAACCCCAGAGCTCTGATTTGACGTTCGATTTGAAATTCGAAATAATGGTGCAAATATGATGACCTTCAAAAGAAAATGCCTTCACGTATTATGTATACTTATATATACATATTTAGATAGATATAACTTTTCGAATAGGAGGCAACCCTAACCACAATTATTTTCAAACTAATCATCTTTCGAACCCCTTTCGTTTGAGACTCATATTTCAATATTTCATTTAACTTGTGTAAAAGTAAATAAATTCGACATTTCAAACAGGTGGCAAACCTATTTAAAAGTATTTTTAAACTAAAATCGTTTTAAATCTCTTTGGTCTGACATACGTCAATACGTTCATTAATACGATTACTTCATTTTACATATTTCAATTAACTGCTTGATTAAAATTAATTTTAATTTTTTTAAATACGTGGCAACTCTCTTAAGTACATTTCATAAATAAATCCTTTTCAAACTCATTTCGATTGACACCCATCTTATAATCTCTCATTTAACTTATAAAATAATTTTAATTTGAACTGGTGGCAACCCTCTTCAAAGGCCTTAAAACATGCCAAATATTCAAACTAAAGATTTCTTAACACTCTTTCGTTTGACGCTCATATTTTAATATTTCCTAGAGCAGGCGGGCATAATAATTTTTATATTTTTTCATAAAAATATGATTCATGCTTTAACCGAACCACATAAATCAAACTTTATACAGAGCTTAGAAAAATTTAACAAATTTTCACTAAAGTTTCGATGTTTCATCTGATTTTTAAGATTTTTTTTTGAGTATGCAGTTTCATAAAGTGCAAGTTTTAATTAATTTTTATTTTTGCTGACGGGTTTTCCCGGTTTTTTCATATAACAAGTGCAATTTATAAAAACTGTGGATTTTTTTAATTTTCTTTGCAAACGGTCGTGCGCATTTGTTGCCATAAGTAATTCATGCTTGTATGGAAAAAAATTCCAAAAAGCCACCAGCAACAAAAAAAATATTAAAAATCAACGCGATTTGCCACCGCTTAAAACTTGCACTTTATTATACTAAAATTATTAAGTTTACAAAACTGCATACTCAAAAAGATTCTAAAAATCAGATTAAAAAGATGAAGTTGTAATGAAAAGTTGGTAAATTTTTCTAAGCGCTGTATAAAGTTTGAAAATTTTATTTATATTGTTTTGGTTAAAGCATGGATCATGAAAAAATAACAGAAAAAAATTTACTTTGAAAACCTTGCAAATATTTAACAAAAGTCACCGTGTACTCAGTTCCGCTCCCCACTGTATGTATTGAGATAACAATACATATATTGGCTAAGTATTTGGTCGAGCTGCTGCTCCTCCAATTTGGGATGTGCGTTTTGATGTTGTTACACAAATGGAGGGACCCAATGTTTTACAACGCCTGCGGACGGCAAATGGATTTTGCCAGGTATACCATTTCCTATTCAGAGGCGACTTCTATTAGAATTTTTTTTTGCGTTACTCGTACCAGGGATCGTACGTAGGCCCTACTGGGTGGAAGTTAAATACATCACACAAAAACGGAAGTCACCGTCCTTTTGTCAACAAAAAAAATTAGGTGCGCTTGGGACATTAGCGTCGGAAAAAGCGTTGAAAAGGAGGTCATAACGGACGTGACAAAAACAGAAGTGCATGTAAAAATAAGCAAAACTCTGCGAATTCTGTGAGGTTTTCCTTTCTTAAACATTCTTTAAATAAAGTCAAATTAAGATCAATAATATTTATTCATTGATTCATTCATATTTAATCAGAAGCAATTCGTTCTTGATTTTATTTTGAATTAAAATGTGATAACGGACGTGGCAGAATTTTCCCCAACACAGTGTTTTATTTAATAATTTAGTCTTTTATTTAATTTTTTCAGTTCTTCTCTCCAGTGTTTGGCGTTTTCATAACCTTTTTTCGCCAGCAGTATAACTCGTGCCGACTAGGGGCAGAAATTCTGGCTAAGAACTTGCAATGAGAGTACTAAACCCTGCAACAATATCTTACAGAAATGAATAAGACAGTTTTTATATTTTAAATATCATTATGAGGGAAAAAGATTTTGAATTTTTTTGTCTAAGTTTCCTCATATATTCATTTCACCTAAAATCCTTGACCAAACCACTTTCGTTCGTTCTTCCAGAACAGGTTGAATTTTAAATGGAAAGCATCAAAGGTATTTTGGTGATATTTTCCTAGATGAAAGGGAATCGAACTTTTTTTTGTATGGAGCGTGAGGCAGTCTACCGAACAAACCATCTCAAATACAGCTATTGTGTTCATTATTTGCATGTGGGGTATGGCTTCTAAATATTGCATACTGTATTCCATACTGACTACATACCACAACAAATAGTCGTGCAGATAAAATCAGTAGTGAAGACACATATGTACGTACTCTCACTAGTCACAAGATCAGTGAAACATATGCTGTTCGTAGCTTCTGGTCTTTATGTGTTTCTCAACTGAAGCACCTTACCACAACCACTTCCACCTACTTATAAGCTCGCGAATGAGCAGCGTTCGGTTGCTCACAGTGCTTCTATTACAACAATAGCTACTGCGTGGTGCTTTTATTGCAGGCTATTGTTTTTGTTATGGGATATCCTTTATTTTTATTTTGTCGATATTAGTTACGATGATCTCGATGATGCTCTCGATTCTAGTCTAATACACTTATACGTGCACACATACTCTTATATACTCACATCAAGTTAAAAGGGCCGAAGTTGAAAATTGAATTCGGACGGTGAGCAAAAACTGTACCAGAGGCACAGAAGTTTTAAATTAGCATAACATTATGCAAAATCATGCAATGCCATGAACTGCACTATGCTATGCGGCGGTCTCCCCTCCCAAAGCTTGAAGTAACAATGGATGTATGTACATATGTTTGTATATAAAGATATTCAAGGCAAAGCGCTGGTTGCACAGCCTCCTCTTATGAGTATACACTGGCCTAAGGGAAGATCGGGTTTTTTGCAGTGTCCTCATAGGCACGCTTTAAGCATGGTCCTAGCACAAATTTACAGACACTGTGGCATTGTTATTGTAGAACAGCATTAAAATTTGTTTGTCATCACGATTTTTGATCGAATTAAAAGGCAGCTACATATAAGTATAATGGTGTGGCGCATGCGCGGAGCATTATTTGGCAAATATACTTTCTGATTTCTTATCATAAGCATTTAGGTGACACATTGCATAAATTTTGCATAAGTTTCTATGCAGGCTATGTCATCGTTTGAAAGGAGTTTGGAGAATAAACTCTTAAGTGGAAGAGATGATATTATAGAATACGTGTGTATATGGCGGTCGCTATGTGTAGTGGTTAGCAGTGCGCGCTACGGTTCCGCGGGGCCCGGCTTCGAGCCCGGTTCAACCCAACATCAAAAAATTAAAAAACAAAAAAAGTTTTTTTCTAATACCGGTCGGAGGAGAAGCTCAGCCAAACACTACTTTATTAATAATGTAGAGATATAACTCAAAATTTACGTTTTTGGAGATTTCCTTATGCAATTAATACACTTGATAAATAAGCATAATATGTTCAGTCTAACAGATAATTAAACTTCCCAAACATGGCGAAGATATGTTTCTTTCCATCTGTTTTTTTCTATACCAACTGTATCAGTTGATAAAACTTAATTTGCGAATTATCATGATTTTTGATCAAATCGCGTTCGTGCAGAACCAAACATTATCCCTCGCTCAAAAACTGAGAGCGCAAAGTGACAGTTCTGCTGGAGCGAAGTTGCAAATTCTTGCTGGAAACAACACACTCAGTATTTTGAATTGACTCTCGAAATCTTGGCTTAATGTTGAAATCCTAATTATTAATAATGTTCATTATTTTTCTATAAAAGCATATAACACATAAATCCGAATTTCAAACTTTGTACGAAAATTGGAAAAAATCAACAAACTTCAACAAAATTTCATTGCTTCAAACTTTTTAATCAGAACTAAAAAAATTTGAGTTTGCAGTTTTAAAGCTCATTTAACTTTAATGTAATATGATAAGTGCAAGTTTGAACTACAAATTTTAAAATTCGCACCAATTTTTAATTTTTTTTCTGGCGGTGATATGCATTTTCTTCCACATAAAAACATTTTTATATAGACGAAATTATAGAGATGCCATTAAACTCAAAAATGTCACCATAGTGTTGCATTTTTAGACAAAGTTGTGTATTACCAAACTTACAAACTGCTTTAATGGCTTTTGTACCGAACCGAACCGAACCATTTTTTTTGGGTGGTTTTCGGTTCGGTTTTGGCATTTCAAAATAAAAATGGTTCGGTTCGAAGTGCGAAAAAAAGCTATGGTTCGGTTCAAAAACCGGTTCGAGTCAAAACCGGTTTGCAGCCCTGGTTTATTGTATTTGTCCCAATGTACGCGGCCAGACATTGCGTTTGCGGTTAATGATTTAACTCAAATTACAGTGTTTCTCATTGGATGGCTGCGAAAAGAACCATGCGATATCTCAAGGGAACTAAGAACTATAAACTAAAGAATTCAACGAATGATTCACCACAATTGCATGGTTACTCTGCTGCTGATTGTGCATCGGACATTGGTAAACGTAGTTCTTGTATGGGATACTTGCTCAAGATATCAAATTCAGCAATTACTTGGGCAAGTAAGCGCCAACCAACAGTTGAATTGTCAAGTACCGAGGCCAAGTACATGGCAATGTCATCGGCTGTTCAAGAGGCGGTTTGGTTGAAACAATTATCAGGCGAATTGGATCATAGTGGCGGTTCATCAATTCAATTGTATGGCGATAACAAAATTACTATCAAATTAGCTGAAACCGATGGCTTTCGACCGAGATCCAAACACATTGATATTAAGTACGGTCATTTGCGTGAGACAGTCGAGAAATGGATTATTTCAATAAAGTATACGGCAAATCTCCGGAAATGAACGCTTACAATTAAATTATACATCATATTGTTTGAAATCCATTGAGGAAACATTAAATACTTGTGTGATTCGTTTTTCTCAAATGCTTAAAGAGTTATAAGTAAAAAACGATATTTTTTGAAAACTCAATTTTATCGATACTTATAGAGGGCGTGGTTTTTGTCCGATTTTAAAAATTTTCAAGACGGTATTTAAGAAGGTCAGGCGCAATGTGTATATCAAATTTGGTACAGATTGGTGAAGTGGTGTTCGAGATACAAACATTTGACAAAAGTGGTCGGGCCACGCCCAGTTTTAAAAAAATTTTACGAAAAACTAATTTTTGCTTAAGATCCATTGAAAATATCATTTTGGAATAAATATTTAAAAATTCGTAAGCCGCACTGCCCAAAGATCTAAAAATCCTTACATACACACATACAAATTCGTGGCCGTATTTAAGACAAAAAGCTATGGCTAAAAGGAAGAATGACTTTTGCTCACAGAAAATGGGATTGTATCAAAATTTAATTAATTGCATCAAATATACATATGCATGAACACATTTTTTAAGAATTTGAAATAATTTTTTTCTTTTAGTTTATTGGTAGTAGATTAAGACAAAGAAAAGAATTTATTGGTAGCATATTTAATATAGAATGTTTGTATAAAATTAGTTAAATATTCAATAAGTGGGTATTGTAAATAGAGCCCCTAGCTGGCATCTAAAATACTCCTTACAACTAACATATGTCAAATGTTTACTCTCTTGGTTTAATGGAAATAAAGTAACACTTCTTCTTTTGCACAGAAAAGGATCGCACGTGTTTTTGTTTTAAGAATATTTCAACCATTGATGCATATTGATCTACGGTTTGCCCTAGAAAAT